CCCCATACTCGTATTCGTCACTTGATGACTTTCATGCGATATTACGAGGGAAAGTACACATACAATGTGTGGAATCGATTGTACGCATTGTGTTTGGGAGGGTATTGGATTGGTTACTACTGTGTGAATCATTTGTTCAAATTGCTATGGCTAAAAAGAATAAGAAGACTCAATCCGATACAAAGAAGATACTCGATTACGATACACCCGGCGTCGCCGGCAATCTAGGGAGCGTGTCTCAATATGCTCAAGCTAAAGGTATTTCACGTCCCAAAGCGAAAAAAGAATTAGAGAAGAATCTTGCCTATACGCTTCATAAACCTGTCGTCGTCTTTGACACTGACCAACAATGGGTAGCTGATTTGGTGGAAGTGCAAACTCTGGCCAAACAGAATAAAGGATTCAGATACATTCTGGTCGTCATTGACGCGTTTTCCAAATACGCGTGGGCTCAACCTATTAAAAAGATGACAAGAAAAGATGTCGCGGAAGCATTTGTCAAGATCCTCAAAACTGCTTAGGGACGTAAACCTCAAACCTTACAGACAGATGCAGGAAAGGAATTTTACAATCAAGTCTTTCAGACTCTGATGAAACAGCAGAACATTCATCATTTTTCCACCCACGGAGATGCCAAAGACAGTATTGTCGAATGATTTAATAGAAGTGTGAAATCTAAAATGTACAAATATTTTACAGCGGCTAATACCTTAAAGTATGTAGACAACTTACAGAAACTCATGTATCAATATAATCACTCGTATCATAGAAGTATTCGCATGACTCCCGCCAAAGTCACTATGCTCAATCCCAAAGAAGTTTGGGACAATTTGTACGGCAAGTATGTGAATCTCAAGAAAAAAACCTCCTGCCTTTAAAGTGGGGGATAAAGTGAGATTGAATAAAAAATTTAGAACTTTCAAAAAAGGATACTTACCCGGTTGGACTGAAGAGGTGTTTGTGGTACGCAAAGTCTTACTGGTTATGACTACCACCAATAAAATGGAAGAATTCGACGACACACCTTTGCAGGGTACGTTTTACGCCTGGGATTTACAAAAACTACAATTGGACGAATCCTCGTATTTTAGAGTGGAGAAAGTCTTGAAACGACAAAAAGATAAATTGTACGTCAAGTGGAAAGGATATCCCGCTAAATATAACAGTTCGATCCATAAAAAAGATTTAAAGTGATGTGTGTACTCGTACTTGACACACCATCATGAGAGGAGGTAGTTTGAAACGTTTCAAAGCAAGTGGGGATCCGAATCAAACGGGAGGTGGTATTTTTCGTTGGAGTTCGCCACCCCCGTTCTACGAACCAGGTGTACCAGGCGACATTCCACCACAAGTGGGAAGTGGTATGAGACAAGATTTTTTAAAGGTAGTGAAGAAAGAATTTAAAAGTGGATTGAAGAAGCGATCCTTGTCAGAAGTGGGACGTAGAGCGAAGAGAGGTGCTTCTATAGCACTCAAGAACGAAGTGAAACGAAAAATCAGGAGAAAGTTGAACGATATCTTTGGAGCCTAAAAAATGTCTCATATCAGTACCATACGTAGTAGTGCCACTATCATTGGGGTGGGTACAGGATATTCGAATGATCCTGTGACTCCTATTTTAAAAAAGTATAAAGGAAGACAAAGGTATCATGGTCAGTAAGGCAGTGGGTTTCTGAGGAAGAGAAGACCATTTAAGAACCGTTCTACTCGCTGACGCACCCATAAACGATGGAGACGTTGAAGTAAACACATCATCTGTAGCAAGATGGCCGCGAAAACAAGCCGCTATCAATCCTAATCTCAACCTATTCACGATTCCACCTACGGATCTTTCTACTGCCAGTTACAGGTACGTCAAAGTACCACCTCAGACAGCGAGTATTACTCCGATTCACGTTTACATTGAAAGAAAATCAATTACATTTATCTGGAGCGGAGTTTTGTGAAATTGTATTTGGGATTCAAGACGACGGGAAATGCCAATCTCACTTCACGCAATGACACTGTGAATCGCATGACAACTCCAGCCAATAACCTGGCGCACACACTCTTCAAACAAGTCAATTTCCCAGCTAATGGCACCCTTCTCACAGGACAAGAGGACATGTACAATCTCAAAGCCTACATACAGACGGTGTTGAATTACGACAGAGATGACGGAGAGACCATTCTTCAACCCACAGTTTGGAGGAATGAAATCGATTTGCCCGTGACGATCGGCAAAAAAA